ATTTGCAATTATTTGCAATTAATTCGCTAAATATTGACGTCGGTTTGGAACGGATCGGACAAATTGGGAGGGCTGAATGAAGTTAGCCCCCCCCCAAACCTATTTTTTGATTTGTGACTTTTCACTTGATTTGCAAATTCTAAAAATGAATTTGCAATTATTTGCAATTAATTTGCTAAATATTGGCGATGGTCTGAAGAGAATCGGTCAAAGTGGGGGGGCTAACTTCATGACCATCCATTGACCTCGGTTGACGTTGAATGCAGCTACGAGTCGACTTCGAAACCTAACCGCCGTACATTAAAATTTAAAAATCTCTAAATGTACGTTGTAGCCAATTGTTTCGAAAAAAACAACAATGAAGATGAATAATTATTAATTAGTAATTAAAAATTAATGTAAAATACCGATTTTTGTTTTAAATATTTCCCGTTTTTTAATACATATTTTGGCAAAAATAAGAACATAAGTATTTAAATATTTTAACTTTTTTATTACATAAAAATCCGCGCCTTAGCGGTAACATACGTTTCGTTTTCGAACCACACGATCGTCTGCGTTCGAAAATGGACGTTCGTTAGTCGAACGCGTACACGTAGGGCTTAAATTTGCAAGAAGTAAAACGCCGACGGACTACATGATCCCTGTAATCTCGTCGGCGGTGTGTTTCGCCAGACAGATTTGTTCAGTTTTTTTTTCGTGAAGTCAATTTTTTTGGACATTCCAGTACTCGTATGGCATGTTTTTATATTATGCGTAACTCACGTAAAAACATTTTCCTTCGGTATGGATATTATTGTTTGTATCGTAGAAGCGTCAACGTATGTGATTTTAAAAACAAGATTATAGGCCTGCAAGTTATTAAATCTCGTGAAAGGCGGCAGGGTCTCAAATTTGACGGGGCCCTAGACAGGTGCCCCTTCATGTATGATAAATATTTAATACCAGTTAGTTATTGTTTGTAGTATACTGTTTTTGGGAACTATCGGTCGACCGTCAACGGGACGTAATAGTCGGTAAGTACCTGTAAAGGTAACCAAAAAAATATTTATTTTTTTTTTCAAAAGTATTTTATGGGCGATTCAGAAAGACAAGTTGATCAGCGTTGTGCAAACAACATTTCGGTGAAAAAACCAATTGTGGAACAACTCCAAACTTTTTTTCATAAACATAACGAATTGGTTAAATTATTCACGATCGCTTTGGACCGATTGCCATCTGATTGTCACAAAATTGTCATCAAAACTGATGAGACGCCCGTAGGACAACACGCAAGACGTTTTAATGCGCCAACTATTGACGAAATATTTTTTTTTTATTAATTAAACCAATTCGAATTCAATATTCATAATTAAGACAGGACAACGTTTGTCGGGTCAACTAGTTTTATTTTAATTCTTGCACCATGGTTTATGAGAAACCGCCAGATCCACAATGACACTGGAATACCTTTAATAAATATCTGTAATAAAAACCAATTAAAAATTTTCCACGCCAAGTTTAAAGACTCAGATGAAGCCCGTCACTACCAACTAGAAAGCAAAACCCAAAATAGACGACTACGACCACCCCAAGATATCCTCTTAACGGATACTGAGGAACTCTCATCAAAGATAAACAATAAATTTATAAATTTATCATTTTAATAATTCTTTATAAATGTAAAAACAAACCAATTTGATTGTAATTGTAATTGAAAAATCACATAGTGTGCTGAGACATTTTAAACATAATAAATGAAAAAAAAAAAATTTAATTATTGTTAGACTTTATAATAGAAGTGATGTTTTAAAGAGGATAAAGAATTGCTTTAGCAACTTTGACTTTTTCTTCATTTCCAAGTAATACTTCAACAAGGCTTAATCCAAATTCAACAGCTGTAGCAGGTCCACGACTGGTCACCAGATTTCCTTAAACAAACAAAAGAAACACATTAAAGATTCATATATTTTTAAATGTATTAACTACAAATATAATATTTATTTATTTATTATAAATGAGTCAAACCCTTTGAAAGTAATAGAACAGTAAATATTAACTTAACAAAAAAATATTAAATAGTTTATTTCACGAGTTAATAATTAATTACTTTTAATATTATAATGATTCTGTATATATAATATACTTAATATATATATATATTTTTTTAACTGGTTAACTGCAATAAGTACTATTTTAGGTACATGGTTAATTTGACATTCAAGCTAACATGAAAAATTCCCCAGGTTAGTAATATATCCAAAAATAATGTAGCAGATAATCAGTTGAAAAAATGTTAATTTTGTGGATTAAAAAATGGATTTAAGTTGATTTAAGACCTAAAAGCCCCATGTATGTTACAGGTATACATGTTACACATATGGCTCCAGGTATGCTACCTAGAACATTTAACTTATAATTTTAACAATATCTTTAATGAAATTTTTATGTTCATAATATTAAACATTCAATATAGATTTTTCAAGAAATAAAGAATAAGTGATAATTAGATATTAAAGTCATTAAAAAAAAAAAAAAAAAATGTAACATTAATAACAGCTCAATAAGACAATATTGTGTTTGAACATACTAACTTACAAAATATTAACTAATCAATTTTTATCTAAATATCATCAGAAAAAGTTAATTCATATTAGTGGTTAAACTAACTCTCTTTCTAATTTCATTTTTTATTTTTTTCGTAATGGTTTCAAAGCATATTAAATGTTTGGAGGCATCTTCACATAAAGATTTACATAATTTTCAGTAACTAATAGTATGATATACTTTTACCATACAGGCTACTACAATTGTTTCAATTTCAACAAAACAAAATATGATTGTGATAAAATAAGCGATAAATGAAATTACAACATTTAATTCATAATATAAAATCAAATGCATTAAAAAAAGATATAAAAAGTAATGTTCAGTTGAAAGTTCAAAAATAACATCTAAAAAATGAAAAGAACACTTTTTTCAAAATAGTTCAAATTAAAATGTATCAAGATATTGACAAAATTGTAATAAGTGTCCATTAAACATTAATAGGTTATTAAAAATTTTAATTTATAATCTAAATGAGTATAAATAAAAATATATATTAATATAAAAATCAAAATATAAATTAAAATAAAGTTAAGTTATTAAGTTGATTAATAGCTGACATTTTCTAATCTAAAATCAATTAATCTATTTTTTAAAATAATATTAAAGCTCATCTCATTATTTTTATAATAAAGCTTAATGTTTAGTGAATAATTATTGTAATTAATTATTAATTAAGCCTAATGAAAATTTACTTTAGTGATACTGTTCAATGTTTAACATGACATCTAAATGGTGTTGAATTAAAATGAATGGTTATAAAACTAATAACTCTTTAATAACTTTTAATTTAATAAATGTAATGGTGCCAAAACTTGATAAGATCATATTTAAATACTTTGTAAATTGATAAACAAGTACCTATAAATATTACATCATAATTCTATATATTTTAAAATAAAAATAAATGAACTAATATTTTTGCTGGTTTGTGAATTGGATTACCAGAAAATAACTTGGATATATTTATTAGTCATAGAATTATTCTTATCTCAAACAAAAAATCAATTTTTATGTATAATTTGTGGTGATATAGGTAATGATATAGGTAGTGATATAGGTATAATGAAAATGTCTGACAAACTACAACTATCAGTTATTTTTTATGACATAAGTATCTATTATGAGAAGAAATCTTATATTTGTATAAATTGAACAGATAAGAATTGTAATTAATAACTAATCCTTATACTTAATACTTATCAAATTGGTATATGATTTGGAATTATATATACGTGGCTAAGCAGAAATGTATTACAGACAACCGATGCAGAATTTCTTGACGAAGTACCAGATACAATGATGACATTAAGAGAAATAGCGAAGAAACATTCTCAATTTGGAGGGCAGGGTTATCAAAAATGTTTTTGCAAAACATCTTGCAAAACAAATAGATGCGCTTGTCGGAAAAACAATGTACTGTATAGCTCAAGATGCCACGAAAAAACCACATGTAACAATAAATAAATACCTTAATATTATTAATAAATAATAATGTTACATTTTATACATTTATGTTATATATTTGTACTGTTATTATCAATAACCTTTGAAATAAAATAATTAAAATGGTTTTTACCATAAAATGATTGTAGTTCTTAAAAGGCCTAACTGAAATTAGTATGTATGCAATGAGCCTAAAAAACAGCAGGCTGTTTGAAAAAATAGTAAGTAATTCTTAAAAGGCCTCACAGCTGTTAGTCTGTATGCAATGAACCTGAAAAACAGCAGGCTGTTTGGAAAAATAATAATTAGTTCGTAAACGGGCTACCCCATTGCAAAGAGCCTAGTTTTTTTGCAAAAAAACTAATTTTCCATATGACCTACGACATATATATAAATAACTTTCAGTATTTTTTATCAAGAATAAGAATGTAAAATAATAAAATATAAGTAGTAGTTTATTTTATTAGGCAAAACTGATATTAACTAGGGTTTCTTGAAATGTGAATTAAATCACAACTATAAGAAAATCAAAAAAAAAAAGTTAAAATGCTTGACTTTGATATAAAAATTAATTATTTTGGATTTGATTAATTAATATAGTTGTTAACCAATTTACAGATAAAATAATTAGAGTATTATATAAATATTATATTAAGATCAAGTCAATTCTCAATATACATAAAAGACATTTTAGCAGGATTTGTTGCTCAAATATTAAAATAGAATATTTTATATTATTTTAATATGTTTTGCTAAAAATTATGATTATTAAGGTCAAATAATACTGTTATAGGTATTATTAAATGCATACTAAAAATATTAATATTTTACCATCAACAACAGTAGTATCTTCTTTGTATTGGTAAGATCCTTCAATATCATTCTTCACAGAAGGGTAAGACGTCAAAGATTTTCCTTTGGCAATTCCATGTTTGAATAATACAAAAGGTGCTGCAAATAATTTTTTTTTTTTTTACAATAAATTTCCATTTAAACATTATTTTGAGAATAACCAAAGCATCAAAGAATTATATTAATATGCAAACTTAATATATTTGTAACCAATATCTAATATTTACTAAGTAAAAAAAGGTATGTAAAAGAATTTTACCAGCACATATAGCAGCAATAATTTTTCCAGCTTTTTCATGTTTACACAAAATCTCTCCAATTACACTTGCCTGAAAAATTTAAGTAATATTAATTTTAAAACATTTTTAATAGACATTATCCATATATTGATAAAACTTATTTTTAATCAACAATACTTGTTAGTCTTATTTTTAACTCAATTATTAACTTTCCAAAATGTGTAAATATTTTATGATTTACAACAACTAAAAAAGAAATATGCATAAGCTATATATAATAATTGTAGTAATATATGATATATGTAATGTTATAGATTGAATTAATTAGGAATATTATAAGTAGATTGTATAATAGTTGAAATAACCTTGTTATAGATTAATCACATTACACGATTAATCTAAGAATATGAATTGTATTGATATTGTTAATTAACCTAAGTATAAAAGGGGAACCGATATGTTACTCGAGGCCTCACTTTTGACTTGCATCTTCTAAAGACTAAAATAATTCGTGAGTGGAGAACTGCAGTCTAAAACTTTCCACGTGTAAAAAATAATTAAAGTATTATTTAGTAATTCAAATTTTCATTGTTTTATTTTATTTAATTGATCTAGTTAACTTATTTTACGGGCTTACTACACAATTGTAAAATTGTAACTTACTGCAGCCAAAGTTTTGTATGATGGACCACCAGGTATAACAACAGCATCATATGTAATGTCTTTTACTTCTCCTAACTTGGCATCAGTTTTAATAAAGATATTGGATTTAGTCTTCACATACTCACAATCAGCTAAATCAGCAATGGTAACAATTACCTTAAATATAAAAATGCATAAATAACTAATTGAAATAAAGATTTTTATTCTTATTTTATTATTTTATGATATATTAATATTTTATTATTTTTATATTATATTTAAAGGTATTAGGTTCAACTACATATGTCATAATTTGTCAATTCAAAATGAATAAATAAAAATGTAATAAAGTAACCCGAATGAAAAATAACTCTAAAATAAAATGTTTGTTATTAAATAGTTATTTACTATGGAATAATATCAATAATTTTAATCCTAAATAATATACTATTATTAAGTTTAATATTATTATTTTACTTATTTTTAGGTTAAATATATTTGTGCATATACACTAAACATAAAATATTATAATATAATGGAAATATTTTTAAAGTGATCAAATCAATCATGTGTTGTAAAAAACATACAGCAGAAAATATATTGTTGGTACATTGTACTAATACATAAAATATAATTTAGGTAAGACATAATTGTTTGTTAAATTATGAATTTTACATTATGTATGAATATAATTTATTTATTTGTTATATATTTATAATATTCTTTTAATACAAGAGTACAATAATTTGTAATTCAAAGGTAGTAAATAGACATAAAATGTATCATTTTATATACAAAACATAAAAAAAATCTTATCTTTTGCAGAAATAGATTTCAACTAATTAAATTTAAATGTTTTATTGTTAAACTTTATATTTAATTAAGGATCTTGGATACTATGCATCTTAGTTTTAAGAAATAAATTATAGATTATTTTTGAACTCGTTAATTAATGTTACTAACGAATGAATAATAATCATTTTATCCAAATTAATTACTCTTAAAATAACCTTTATTTAACTGGTCATAACTTTTGGTTAGCTTTGATGCTGGAAAAGCAATTTATATCTAATAACCAACTTGAATTGTAAAAACATAGTAAAATTATTATTTTCAAACATGTAAGCAAATTTATTTATTACATTTTTAAAAAAATATTTGGGTTTATTAAAATATTTATGTACGATTGTTAATATTTTGCATTTAAATTAACACATAAAAGACAAAAAAAAATATATATATATATATGTATGTATTTATATATTTTTTAAATTTGTTATTTTGTGTAATATGAGCTAATGATTAAATTTTGGAATTTAAAAATTGATGATCTCGAATAAATCAGATCATAAGCATTTGTACGTAAAGAAAAAATTTTACATTAGCACGACGAAGTATGTCCACAGGAGCGACCAATTCGAGTTCTTCACTGCCTTCTGCCACAATAAACAAAGCTGTCTTTTGAGCCATTTCCGAACGTGCAGTCGTAACGAAGTTTCTCAAATGGAAATCGTTCTGTCGGACGTTGGACGTAGGAAACTTGACGTTTTTAAGACTTCCTATTGAGCTGTTATTAAAGCAATACGATTTAACAAATGTTAGCAGTTTAAGGGACATTAGAAAGAAATATGATTCGTCGGATGCGCACAAGGAATCAAATTCACTTACCAGCAAAGATGGTCGGCAGATGTGTATAATCTGTGTTCAAGTTGTAAAGTTACGTTCGTATGTGTATATAATATGATCTATAACCTTGCTCGTCTGCAGATAAGAGATAACATGAAAAAACACGAATGGATCTTTGTAAGAAAAAATCGTTTGTGTCCGTATATAATATTGCCTACATTTAGCCCCTTTTTTGTAGCTATCAAAATGTGTTAACATTGATAAAACGATAACATACCGTGTTCGGGATCACGACGTGCGATCGATGTTTCAACGTGCCAATATCGACGATCACATGCGTAGGAAAACCCGAAATGGTTTTCCGTTCGGTTCCGGAAAAGTTTCATTTCGACGTTTTGAACTGCGACGCAAATCGTAGAATATTTTACCGCCAAAACGTTTTGCATCAGAGTGGAAAAATAATAAATGAATTCACAGCAATCGATGTTTGTCAGGCACCGGATAGGTATCGATCGATGTCCGTCACCGGTTAGTCAAGGGCGAATGATAAGGAATTATCGATTTCCATACTCTCTGCTCGTCTTCGACAACTTCCGACGTTCCGCCTTCATTTCTGTTGTTGTGCCTGAACCTTACCGACCGGCTCGTCCCGTCGACTATTCAATTCTTTTTTTACTTAACGTCAGTCAGAACATTTCTATTTCTAAACACAAACCATGGCATTGAACAAACTCAGTATCAAAAGTTTGGAAGTCGCTAACAAGCGAGTATTGATCAGGTAAGGAATATTCGTGTATTACATTATAACTGTATATTCGACGTGTTTCTCGATGTCGCAAACAAGTTCACAATTATCAGAGGTCAATCGTTCTATCGCACATGCCTATCCATGTGATGAGCGATTGTTATTCATATTGTGTTGCGATTATTTCGCATTTAATTTATATCTAACGTTTTTCAGTGCCGTTTTCATGAATCGTCAATAGCTCAATCGTTTTCATTATAAGAATGAATATAATTACATTTTTCAATGGGTTCAAACCCGAACATGATCTATATAAATTATATTTTCCATTAATATCCCTCTGCCTCGTTAAAGAATATTACAAATAAATGTAATAAAGTACTTATGCCTATTACAGAGGTGTTCAAACTTTTTTATTTCGCAGAATCTTTGTGTTTTCTTAATACTATTAATGACAAAAAATATATAGTTCCATCCTATTCAATATTTGTAAATTTATTAATTTATTATATACCAAAAATATACCATTAAATAATGTATATAATTTTTTATGGTTTCCTTTATTGCAATCATCTTTGTATATGTACTTATATAGTATATGAATTTTATTTGCTGGTTTTTTGACACAGCTCTCTTCATTAACTATTTTAATCCACAGTTTGAATACCTCTGGCCTAATGAGTCACTTATATGTACATAAGTTATTTCAATGTCAAATAATGTAGGAAAAATGTGTATTATATAAAATAAAATATAATACAAATGATAACTAACCTGAACTATTTATTTTTAGTTTGATATATACTGGATTTTATTATTTTATGTTTTAAAAATAGTTAATATACTTTGAGTTCATAATATCAGTAATACTTTCCATATGTTAATATATTTAATATTAATCGTTATTCAATATTCATAAATTAATTTAGATATCAATTTTATTATTTTAAATGTTTAGAATTATTATAATATTATGTTTAACCAATTATATGAATGATTTCTGTAATGTTGATTTTGGCTCTAATTTTATTTTAAATACTTAGACAATTTAAGTGTTAATTTAGTATTTATAAATTAAGAAGAGTTATTCAGTACCTAAATAATTATGTTTTGTCTAACATTGATATTTTTAATTTTAACAAAACTTAATTTTCATTTAATTATGTATACCAATTGTTAATATTTTAAAATTAAATTGTTTTAAATATTTTGAGCTTATATGTTATATATTGACAAATTTGATTTTAATTATTACAGGCCAGTTATATTATTAAAAATTATGATTATTTGTTTTGTATTTTATCTAATATATAGTTATTGACTTTATGTAGGTAATACCTATTTACCTGACCTCATTATTAATTTTAGTTTAAATTTACTTGTTCTCAGAAAGAGTACTGAATATTCATTAGCATCTGAAAGTGTTCTAAAATTAGCTTAATGATAAGTGTTTATTATCATAAATAAAACCAAGTATAAAAATATACTTAATAAATAATAAGGTTGCATACAATTATTTTGGTTGATCAAAATTGATAGTTAGATTGATAATTGATAATAAATTGATAATTATACCATTAATATATCTATGGTTTTGATAAATTACTATATTCAATAAACATTTTGATACATAATAAGTAAAATTATTTTTTATTATTTTAGGGTTGATTTTAATGTACCGCTGAAAGATGGAAAAATTACTAACAATCAACGTATTGTTGCTGCATTAGACACCATAAATTATGCCATTGAAAAAGGTGCTAAATCTTTGGTCCTTATGTCTCATCTTGGACGTCCAGATGGTTTACCTAACCCAAAGTACTCCATGAAGCCAGTTGCTGAGGAACTTAAGAAACTCCTTAATAAGTAAAATAATAATTTACTATTCTATAATGTTACATTTTTGTGTTTCAATGTTAAATATTATAATTTCATATATATAAGACAACTTTATTTATTATTAGAGCATAAACTAAAAATAAAAGTTTATAAAAATAAACACATAGTTTTTTAGTTGATGTTCAAGACTTTTAGTATAATATTTGTTTTTCATATCAATCCATGTTGAATTAATGTTCTTTAAAAATCTGTATTTCCCTTAATCCTTTTAGAAATGTTTCCTCAACCTCTATTTTGCAAAAATATTTTAATGAAATAACAAAAATAGGAACAATAAATAAGTAAATGTTCAACTACTTAGTAATTGTTCATAAATAACTGACAATTTAAAATATTTTAGGGATGTTACATTTTTACCTGACTGTGTTGGCCCTGAAGTTGAAAAAGCTTGTGCAGATCCTGCTCCTGGTACAATATTCCTTTTAGAGAATCTTCGATTCCACATCGAAGAAGAAGGAAAGGGTGTAAATGCAGCTGGTGAAAAAGTAAAGGCTGACAAAGAAGATGTAAAAAAATTCAGAGAATCATTGAAGAAGTTGGGAGATGTATATGTCAATGATGCTTTTGGCACTGCTCATAGAGCTCACAGTTCTATGATGGGAGATGGTTTTGAAAAGCGTGCTGCTGGCTTCTTGTTAAACAAAGAACTTACATATTTTGCTAAAGCTTTGGATAATCCTGAAAGGTATTGTATTAACCATTTCTTCTTAATATTCTGTTGTAAATTGTTGTTCACAGATATTTATGTTTATAATAATAATTATGCCATCTAGGAAAGTACATTTTTCATTAAATCTGAAATATTAACAGTTTTCATAACTTTCAAGAACATTCAATCATATTATTAATTATATCAAAACTATATTTAATGTTATTAGTTACATAAGTCGATAGCGTTTTTTTTTTTTTTTTAAATGTTGAATAACTTAGATGATCAAAAAAATTAGTTATCCTTTCATCAAATTATTTCTCGATTATGTGTAATAGATGAATTGCTATTTATACATTTATACAGTACTTATATTGATTTTGATTAATGATAATTGTTCTGAGTAATCTGAGCAATAACAATTTGATGAAAACTGTAATTTTAGTTGTATGTTTTAATAACAATAACAAGTTAATAACAATAACAAGCAAAATGTTTTAACAATTTTCATAAATTTAAATACATTTTTATTAGTATTCTTAGTCATAATTGTTTTATTTTAAAATAATTTTGAACATTGTAATAATTAAAATTGTTAAATAAACAAAATAATTTTATTAATTTAAATTAAATCTATGATGTCCAAATCATAAAAATTGTAGCATTTTTATATTATTACATTCTTATCAACTTAACTTTTCTTTTCCAATGAGAGAGAAATCAAATTTAAATTAAAAATCCTATAACTACCTTTAACATTTTAAATTTAAATATATTTTTATGTTATGTATACACAATTAATGTATATTTATTTAATTTTAGGCCTTTCTTAGCAATTTTGGGTGGAGCTAAAGTTGCTGATAAGATTCAACTTATTGAAAATCTTCTAGACAAAGTCGATGAGATGATTATTGGTGGTGGTATGGCATATACATTCCTAAAAGAATCAAAAGGCATGAAAGTAAGTCTAATGAATAATCTTAATAACATGTTAAAAATGAATCATGTATTGAATTTTTGAAAGTCTTGTAATAATGACAAAAAGTTTGTTTAAAATTAAATTTTTTAAAAGCCATATTTTGGTTATTGGTATATTTCCCATATATTATCAGTATAGAAAGTAACAAATAGATTTACCTTCTGAGGGGGGGGGGAGTAATTAAATTTTTTCTTTAATTCAGGCTCAAAATGTACAGGTAAAATTTTTAGTAATATTTAAATCAGATGAATCCTTAATATTTGTCGTTTTTTTTTTTTTTTAATCTAATGCCGGTTAAAATGGACTTTTGTGTAGTTATTTTTTAACACATATCTGTGTTTTGAAAGTTTTGCTTGTGTCTTATTTGATTTTTCACTCAGTATGAACCAGGGCTTAAATCAAAACAATATATTTATTGTTTACTGTTATGGGACATTTAAACATTATTCAATTAAAGCGTTTAAACGTTGAAAAATTTTCCGTATGCCATTATTGACAGTTAAAACGCTATGAACAATTTAACATTTTGCATTATTTAAATTAGTGTAAAATTTGAAACGTTTTCAAATGTAGTATTTAGCAATCAATACTATGTAAAATAACATTACATATTTTAAATATTATATTATATATATTTAACCAGTGGTGTATTGGTAAATATATTTGTGGGTATACGCACTAAAAAAATATGGATATTAATCCTAATATAAATTTTCTCGATACGTTTGAAAAAATTTAATTAATCCTTTGTAACTACATGTTTATAACTATAAAATATAACACCACAAGATATATATTTGCAGCGCATTATAAATTGCATGATGCAGATTTAAGAACCATGGGCTGAAAGTTCACATTCCATACTATTTTATTCAATGTTATTCACTACAGTTATCAAAATATATTAAGTACAGCGTAGGTTCATTGTAGTCATCAACAGCTAAATATTTCAATCAATTTCATGGTTCATAACAATTTTTTCTAATGAACTATTAAATTATTATTAGTTTTTTTAGTTTTCGAGTTATTTTAAAAGTGTATACCCATAAAATAATTTTTTACATTAGGTATTCGCCGAAAATCGAAAATCTGCTAATGTGTATACGCCATATACCCGTGTATACGTACCAATACACCCCTGTCTTTAACGATATTTTCTTTTTGTAATTCTCATAACTCATAATTATAAATAAAGCAATCATATTTGTTGTATAACAACAATAAAATTCACATACCACTTAAAATATGTATTTACTGTCAATTTATAACTTTTGTATAGTGTATTAATACTAATGTTTCACCGGTGTTTACCGAAATTATTTTTGATGAGGCAAGCCATACGGGTTCCGCGCCAACAATATTCAATGTATTTTCAGAAAGCATAATTATAAATTATAATTGTTTATAATTGTTTGGTGTCCTGGTATGGACACTAAGTATCGTTATAAAATGATCCACATTAAAAAAAATTTGAAATATGATCGATTCTTTAAATACGGATTCAGAGGGGGGTGTTCGCCCCTCCTAAAATACGCCCTTGGAAAGTAAGTGAAATAAAAAAATCAAAATTTTAAATCATCTGTTTCCTATAAAAAAAAATTTTATTCAAATGTTTATAAATAGTTAAATGTATTGTGTACTTAGGTGTTTAATAAAAAGTGAATTGCTATTTTTGGATCATATGATATTATAATGCAACTTTTTTTTATCAAATAATAGAAACCTGTATAATATTGACTTTAATATAAGTTATAGTTACAGTACAATACACAAAAATAATTTGTGACAAGATTGAAAGAACTAGTAAAAAATAATTACATAACTAACATACTCTACATGTCATATAGAACTGTATTGTTATAAACAATATTTGCTGTAATTTATTTGGAAAATAAAGTTTAGAGACTATGTAAAATAACAGTTTAAAAAATTAATTTATTATTCAGTTTGATTACTAAATAAACAATAATTTTCAGTAAGTAGTTAAAATAAAAAACGATTATAGTGTTGATTGTACAATTTACACACTGTATGTTGATAACAAATTTCATTATCGCTTAACTTTTAACAAACATAGATTTAAATTTAATTTTGTACTTAACTTTCAGACTCTATATTCAAACAATTTAATTATTTATTTTAGATTGGTGACTCTCTTTATGATGAAGCTGGAGCAAAAATAGTTAGCAAATTATTAGAAAAAGCAAAAGCTCGCAATGTTAAAATTCATTTGCCAGTTGATTTTGTTACTGCTGATAAATTTGATGAAAACGCTAATACTGGTTCTGCAACTGTTGAACAAGGAATTCCTGATGGATGGATGGGTTTGGACTGTGGGCCAGAATCCCAAAAATTGTTTGCTGAACCTATTGCTCGTTCTAAAGTTATTGTATGGAATGGGTAAGATTGTTTTGCTTTTTATGAAACATTTGTATATCTGTTGAATTTAAGTCAAAAATGCTATATATGAATTTATTAAAATTAAGAAAAATAAATGCAAGTTTATATAAACTAATTTGTTTGATATTAGGCCTGCCGGAGTATTTGAGTTTGATAAATTTGCTTATGGTACAAAAGCATTGATGGACGCTGTTGTATGTGCAACTAAAAATGGAACTGTAACTATAATTGGTGGAGGTGATACTGCAACTTGTGCTGCCAAATGGGGCACGGAAAGTCAAATCAGTCATGTTAGCACTGGAGGTGGTGCAAGTCTTGAATTACTTGAAGGTGAGTATTTAAATTTTAAATATACCTATACCAAATAAAATTATTGAATTTAGAATCCGAACCATAACTTATTCAAATAGTATCTGTGCGAATAGTTAACTGATTAGTTAACTAATTCACATTGGGTTTTTGATAAATTTTAATGCTTAATCTGTTAAATACACTGTTTATACAAACATTAACATTTTTTTAAAGTCTATAAAAATAATGTTAAATTCTTAGATAAAATGTATCAATTGTGTTTTTTTTTAAAAAAAAAAAAAAAAGAATTACGTTTAATTTACAATTGATGTCATTTTAAAATAATATTTTTTTCAATTAAATAATTTTTATTTCACTTGTATATATGACACAAGTTTAAGAAATTTAATGGTGTTAAACATTTAAATTGTATTACACATGTATAAATCTAAAAGTGTGATCCTCACTGCTCGTGATTTGGTATAGTGTGGTATATTATATGGTTTGTGAGATTGGTGGGTCTTGGCATGGTGCAGCACAACTTTGATGATTTTGGGTATTTGTGTCCTGCATCAATGTAAAATGTACTTTGTACTTTTTAATTTTAGAATGTTACTCCATGCCATACCACAATATGAATTAACACAGATTTTAGATTTTTATCATAATCGTCCATTTTTTATATATATATATATAAAGTAATGTAATAAATATGTTAACAAGAAAATGTATTTTAACTAAAACATTGAAAAAAAACAAAAAATACAACCAACGTCTATACTCAGATAAAATAGGATTACTATAAACAATTTTAATTTAAATCAAAACAATGTAAATTGGAGTGGCATTTTATAGAAATGAACTCCATGTTTCAAGTTGCATCATGCACTGTGAGATTGCATTTTATACAGTATATTTAGAAAACATCACAATTACTTTTATGATAATATATTTATACATGTTTGTAAATTTTATTTTATCTAATTATAATTAAAAAATGATTTATCTATTTTATTTTTTTTTTAGGAAAAGTTTTACCAGGAGTTGCAGCTTTAACTGATGCATAAACAATTAAAATATAGTGTATGTCAAATATTTATATTGTGTTTTATTTATCCTTATTTGTTTTATTTTTTATAAACATCTAGTCGTCAAATTGTTTTACAATAATTCTTTGTATTAGTCAAATTTTTGTTTTAAAAATCATAGATTGCATGTTTCTTTTCAAAAATAATAAATTTAAACTTTACATACCTGTTCCTTTCAGTCCTTAAAAGTATATTAGTTAGACTCTTATGACAATAAACTAGTATGTAAGAAATTAATGCATAATATATTAATTTATTAGAAATTTTTTGGTCAGATTATTTGAATTGGCTGACCAGTCTTGAAACTTATTGATTATTTACTTATCAAATATGTAAGACAGAAGAAAAGTTTTATTTCAATGGTTGATTGAATTATGGAAAAAATTAACAGAGTATATTTTAGTATGCAAAAACCATCATCTAGTATTAAAATTAATCATATAAAAACATATATAAAATTGTATGATTTTTTTATCTCAGGAAAATGTTAAAATTGTATTCTCATTCTAGATACTTGAAGGAACATTCTTAATATAATCCCATTGTTATTCACTAACAATTCAGTTGTACAATTATACATATTTTTAGGGAGAGCAAAAGGACTATTTTGTCCTTGACCTTAGTCTAAAAATGTAAAGGTTACTCCATTAAAGTCCAGATTGATTAGAAATACTCATTAGATTATGTTAATAAAATAATAATATATTTTTTTATTTGATTATACTCATTTTATTGTGTTGCCCATTAGAGATAACTGATATTAACATATTATTTGTCAACTAATTTGCTTCACATAAATATTTATATTTAAATATTCTTAATTTGTTTCAAATGCTGGCGATCATCATTGATATACAAGTTTTGTTAACTGCACTTCGGAATGATTCTACAGAACTTCTGTTAAACCATGTTCTGAGATTTACTATCCTCGACGGGCGGACACAAGAAAAAATTTTGTGAGGGGTTTTGAAAAAATAAAAATAATTACCGTTACTTTGAAGTAATTATTAATTGTATTTTTATTAGTTATAACAATTATAAAATTAAATTCATCCACTTCGTTGTTTTTGCCATAATATCCAAGATATCTTCTTGGGCGGTATCGGGCCTATGCAGGGGCGATTGGGAGAGCTGGGTGCATGGTCGAAAGCAGGCTTAAACAAGAGAACGGTACCGACCGTGACCACTTTATCAGCGACCGCTCAAACAAGCGCGCCGGAAAGGTTTCGCGAGTATTGGCCCTGCAAAGGGCCATTTTTAGTTTCGGCTAATAGATCCACGAATCGCGGAGCCCCACGTGTAAATGCCGCTGGAGCTGGATTCGTGGTTGTCGTATTCGTCGATGTTTTCACGGTCGCGATTGCTACAACCACCGTGCAATCGTTGACGTGGTTTTCACTGCGGTTGTCGTTCTCGCCGCAGCCGTTGCCGCCGTGATTTCTGCAATCGTCATCGTTATCGCTGCGTCGCCGTCGTCGTCGCAGACGTAATCGCCATTGGGTGTTTCTATTATTCCTAACTTGATATTTTGAGATGTTGAATAAGTGAACTGTTCATGTGTTAAAAAAAAATATCTTATAAAATGTATTAATATCATTTTTACCTACTGTAGTTGAACCTGCTTCTTGATATCCCTTACTTTCGTTCGAATCGATACCACTGACCCAGTAGGTACCTCATTAAATGGAGGGGTTTTTAATAATTTAAGAATATTGTCGGATGACAAAAAAATGGGATCGTTTGTCATTACTAACCGACGTAATATTCGTTCTTCCTCGACGGAATATTTTACTTTTTTAGGGGACTTCAATGGTGACCTCACTGGCACATTGTTTAAAAGTAGTGTGCAGACGTTTTGTAGGGAATTCTGGTGGTGGCAAATTATCGTCTACAAACTGATATAAAAAAATAGATAAAAAAAAATATATATATATATAAAATATAGTTACGAATAGGTCACTCGACGCGTCCACATATAATTCCTGCACCACTGGTGATTTTGGGACGCCAGCTCCGATATCGGTAACAACATTAGAAATTTGCCTAGCAGCTGCCCCTGATGCAACGGACGCCATTCATTTTTTTTTGATTCTCATCAGAAATATACAGGTACAGGTCTGTTTATGATATCGTAAAATGGTCCTTCATCAAACGAAGAACGACCAAAAGGGTAACGTACCCTACTGTCAAAACAGTGGGTACTCGGGAGGAGTTTCGTTGTCCAATAACCTTTTTTGCTACGATAATAATCCTCAAAAAAAAAAGAAATTTTCAAAATTATATTATATTTCACCATGACCTTAAACTTACAAACTCTACTAACAAACTTTCAACTCTACAAATATGCAACATTTTCCACATTCACCCAAGAGGTATAGCACAATGAAAGCGTTTTTTTTACGTGGTTCCCCAGTAGGCCTAAATCCACGGATAAAAAGGAGTGTAACAAAAAAAAAAAAAAAAAAAAACTACAATCTAGTTAAAGAATGGCTGACTTCAGCCTACCGCATCTCAACGATTGCATTGATAACTGCGGGGACGAACGCGAATCCATATCACCAACGTGGGTCCAATCGCAACTAAACATACAATAATAAGTAAATATTTTATTCATGAAATGCACATAAATAAGTATACATACACCGAACGATGTGATTTCGAATGAAGAACAGATCAGATATATGTATCACTTCCACAAATTGCACGATTAAATATCTTAAACATACTGTTACAAAATTGAAATCCGATCGGTTTTCAAAGTTTTAATAATTGACATTAAATACGTAAATGGACCAACAACGATCGATAACAATCTTGGTGTCAAACTGTATCAGCGATTGACAAGGAATAAAAATTGGAATCGGACTGCCGACCGTATTCTCTTACAACACGCCGGTTACAGAATGCACGATTTGCGTCGTTTGTAAACGACATCCCGCACTGTTGGCCGACAATATTGGCCACCAATAATAACCAATTACGTGCTGCCTAACAAAAAGATAGACATGATCGTTAAAACGTTAAAAATACAAAGTAAAAATTACATATATATAAAAATAAACAAAAAATTACTTACGTCATCGGCAATACCTTGCAAAATGTCCAATTTCGACTGACGAAATATTCTCGTATAAAGGGACCTACAGGTACATGACCAAAAATATACGACGGTGAAATTTCCAATTTCGGACTTTTCGAATCCAACGAGACCGTCGGCATCGCGTCTAGATTTTCTACGTTTTCCCGGAACACAATTGCTTCGGTGGAAAAATTACGGAAATTCGGGCACAGTCCAAGAACCGAGACTCATCAAAAACAAAAAATCTGATGGCCAATTCTAAATCGTACACCTCGGCTAGTAACTAGAAAAAATGTAAAAAAAAACACACAAATAAAAAATTGACGATGGAAATAATTATAATAATAAAACACAATAATGTATGCTTACAGTTCTATCAAACCTGGTAGATTCGGCGTCGTGCACCAGTTGGTTTAATATCTATCTAGGAGTTTAGTTATTCGACTATATAAATATAATGGCCAATTCTTTGATGAGGCAACTATGATGTCGTTACACAAAACAAATTCAATTAATCGTGCACCATAGGAGCCCAGCAGCGACAAAATATCGGAGGACGTACTCCCACTGATCACAGTCTCGACCCTTAACGCGCAGCCCATGACCGCCACATTAAATAATCACGAACTGTATATATGAATTTGTTTGCATCATGGTCCATCGAACGGATGGTGGACATGCTGCTAGTTGACGTTTTTGTCCCGCCCAACAATAGCCAACTAAATACAGACGTATCCGACAATCCACGTCTCAACGTGTGGACTGCGGGTGTATACCCCTGAATATATGTACAACTCGGTAACAATGTCCTCAAAAAAAAAAAAAATGAAAACACATAAATATTAAAAATAGGTAATTTTGAAAAAACAATGTACTATTATTACTTATTATAAAATAATAACACAAACACGATTTAGAATATAAACTAAAAATTGGAAAAATAAAAAAATAAATAAAAATTGAGGTACAAAAATAAATTGGAAACAGTATATTAAAAAGAAAATGAATAAATAACTCAATCATGGGTGATATGGAAATAAACAATAACATATAAAAAAAAAAAAAAAAAATCAAAATATACTTATTCCGAAAGCAGAGGATTCCTTTTTGGGTGTAGAGGTTTCTTTCTCACGTGGGGATGTATCGGCAGCAGAAGGTGACCCGATGAGGCTATCAAGCACGAATATCTAGATACAACAAAAACAAGAAATTCATTAACAATATCAAAACTGAAAACTTACATTTTTTTTAAAAAAGTATCACGAAAAAATAGAAACGCTAATGAAAATATTATGGAATATTTATTATTCTATACGGGTACATACGATAGGTGAAACCGGACGAGTATCCTGGAAACTGACGCTCGGAGTAATCTAAATAAAAAATACCAAAAGATAATCGAGTGAAAAAAAGTTAATAACCACGTTAGAAAACCGTCAAAACAAGTAGAATAGTCTACGTTCTCACGTCGTTGCAAACAGTCGTGTATCGTATTTAGTGCTTTTGCTGATAAAGTCTCTCTATATATATACATATTTGTTATATTTCTAATTGGTTCGCTTTATCCATGTCGTCGTCTTCGGGCGGCGGCTCTCGCGCCGGCCAAAGCTCGTCAGCGAACAAAATAAAACCGACAACTCATAATAAAAGCTCGGGATCCAGTTCTGATTTTTCACTCGTCTCTTACTCACGTAAGTCTAAAGCTAAAACAAATCCAACCAGTCCCGTCTCTCCAGGTTTACAACAAATAATGGATAATCCACCGGTTCTAAATACATCAAACACTGTTTTCAATTATAACATACCTGATAACGCGCATGAGCCTATTATTGTTGATGATGCTATTAACGGCAACGACCGATCTAATGAGCCCGCCTCACCTATCACGTTATCTACAGATATAACTATGCCAGATATAACTCTCTCCACTTTACTGATAATCTGAGGTGTACTTGGATTCGTACTAGAAAATGGTCTGATATCCCGCATACGCCTCTACAGGTTTTAACATCCGTTATACAATGTTTTCTTCTGGAGTCGATCATGACATGATCTATTTGATTTTTAGTTGTTCCACCGGGGGACATCCATGTCTGTTTATGGATTTGTTTATGCGGAAAAAACGTACTGCCTATGGTCATTCCCTTGGACGTTGCAAAGGATATTACTCTAACTCCGTTGTCGTTCGAATCATTATGGAGGCTTTGTTGCCCTGTCGTCGGTTTGTAATCTATTTCTTTCCCAATTTTTGCATTAAAGTCCCCAAATACGATTTTGACCATATTTTGAGGTATTGTACTTCTAGTTGTTTAAAGAAATCGTTTTTTGTCTCCTCGTCTTTGTCCTCTGTTGGAGCATAGCAATTGATCAGTATTATATTAAACCATTTAGCTTGAATTTCCAAGAGGCATAGCCTATCATTAATTGATTCGAATCGCTTTATGTTGTTGAGTATCCTGTCGCTGACTACGAAGCCAACTCCCTTTTCATGTCTTGATCCTCCACTGTAGAATAGTGTTGCTTTCTCTGTTTTGTGATTGCCAGATCCGGGCCATCTAGTTTCTTGAATTGTTAGTATAGCCAGTTCGTATCTGTCAAGTTCAGATACTACTGTTGTCAGTGTTCCGGTTCTGTATAAAGAGCGCACGTTCCATGTTCCAATTTTTAAGTCCTGTATGTCCACATCTTTCCGAGGCTTTTGTGTTGGTTGTTTCTTAACAATGTTTTTTTTTCCGAGGATGGGTTGTTGGCCCATCGCTCAACCCCCCAATTGGAGGACCATTCCCATCCAACCAATTAAGGTAAGGTGAGGGATACTGCAGTGCAATTAGCACTGGGCGGTGGGATCGCCAGTTTCCCTACGCCACAGCTCGGGGCCTCGGGTTCGCTAAACCCGTAACACTGGGTGTCAATTAACACGCAGTGTTCCCCTGAGGTAAAATACTATATATTATTATTATATAAATAATAAATAAATAAATAAATAATAAATTATATATATAAATTATTATATAAAATGAAAAAAGTAATTTTTATTTATTTTTTATTTCAACATAAAACGAACAGTGTATTTTAAAATCCCGCGCGAATCCAAATCATGTGATTTTGATGTTCTATAAAAATAATATTACTTAATAGTTGTCATAGGCAATCTCGAAAAATTAATTAACGTTTTTCTTAGTTACCACTGGAGACAGTTGTTGATACCTCGATAGTAGAATTATTCTTACATTTTGTCTTCCGTATTACGAATTTGTTTTGTAATTTATTCGTTTCAAATATACCAAGAGTATATTTTATTGTTTTTATATTTAATTTGTTGTGGAAGAGAAATTAAAAAACAATGAACAACATGGAAGCAATTTGTATTTGTGATATGGTCGGCCACCTGAAAGTTAAGAAGATGATGTATACGATGAAGAAATGTTCGCTGTGTGATCAGAGATGTCTTTTTAGAGTTTTGAAAATGGTTGAATGCATCGGTAAGGTAGACATATATGACTAGAGATAAGATTTTGGTACAAAAACAAAAGTTTCTAAAAAATTAAAAATCTATCATCAAAATCCTCATTCTATTTTTGGGGTACTCGCGGGATTAAGTAAAAGTACTGTATTCTATCTAAAACTTGAATATTCCGTTTGACAGCGTGCAATCGTGTGATGCACAAAAGGTGTTTTGAGGTGGCTAAAAGTCAGTTAGTGCACGCACCGTCCGGCGGTATAGTGGTGAACCAAAACATCAGTACCCTAGCCACTCTTGGCCATAGACGCCAAATACTCGGTGTTACTGCAGACACTGAAAAACAAAAGGCAGGAAACCGCGGTCCAGAGTTAAAGACTGAAGTGCTATGGCTGCGGAACACTAGAAATTCGGCGGTCTACAGGATGAAAGTAGAATTGAAAATCGGCGAAAAGTGTTACGTGGACTATTACAAGCTAGATGTCAAAAAGTTATGTTGATGGCAGCGGTGATCATATCGGAAAAGGAAAGAAGCTTATGGAAACAAACCTTACAATAGTTATTTTACCTAAAGCATTAAGAAGTTGGATGATGTAAAATTAAATTGAACATATAAATACAACGAAATAGTATAGGGTTAGGTATTTCGAAGGCATAGGTAATCTCGTGTTATTATTTGTTGAACGTATAATGTAATTATCATACAACGCAATTGACTTGAAAATTATACTAATAAGTTCAATAAATAATACAAAATTGCCTATGCCACAAAAATACCTATACTATTTCGATGTACTAATATGTTCGATTTTTTTTATATCAATCGACTTCTTAATGCACTAGGTAAAATAACTATTATAAGCTTTGTTTCATAAGCTTATTTCCTTTTCTTATTTCACGCTAAGGACAGTTTAAAAAAATTAAAGAAGCCAATGGCACGTAGTGTTCCCAAATGGCCATCCACCAAAAGAACCAAAGTACGTTTCAAGGCGCCAGTATCTGTGAATAAGAAAAATATATTGACTGTTTTTCAAGATGCACACATTTTGGTTTAACCTAAAGCTGCGTCTAAACAGGACGACCGCGGTCAAATGACTGTTGCCGTGCGACAAAATTAAAAGAAAATTTAATTTGTAAACCAATTTTCAACTTAATCGCATGATCAATGATTTAATTCGATTAAAGTTGAAAATCCGTCTACTTTTGGTCATTTTTAACAATTCGGTTATTGCCCTATGGCTAAATTCGACCATTTAAACAACTAGGCCATCATATTGTACTGAATGATATTTCTATTTTCAATCTTGACGGCAGTGCTTTTCGCATATGTTAAAATCAAGTAAACCGCTTTTTGGTTTTAATCGAATCGAATCATTTAGTCGTGTAATTTAGTAGAAAATAAGTTTGAAAATTTAACTTACTTTCGTTTTCGTGTAAATTTAGCTTTAGATTAAACTAAAAAATACACATATAATGCCAACGACCATACCACGTTGAATATACCAGTAATATTATTTAAATATTATTTATATAATGATATATTAAAATGCATAATAATAATAATAATAATACTATAGCATTATTTTTTCATTATTTAACAATTGTTTTTGGTAATATTATTATGCAATGCACACGTACAAATAAGGTAAGTACACATATTGTTGTATTATCATGCAATTGTAAATAAGTAGTTTACAAAATATTAATTTCTTAAATACATCGTTTTTATTGCTAGGCAAATGTGCCAATGTATCTAATGTAAATTTCAAACAAACAACTGAATTTGATTGAATTTTTTTTCAAACAAAAATATCATATATCTCTTATTTTCATAACACAGATTGGTTTGTAATAACAAGTATATCTATAATTAGTTAATGATTGAACTGTGTAATTTAAGGAAAAAATAAAATGCATTATCGTGATTATAACATTACATTATATAGATAAAGAAATAGGCCTTTTTTATGGATAGTCAAGATGAAGATAAAATCTTAAATGTGGCTAAAATATAAATAAGCAGAAAAAAAAATTACAATCCTAATATTATTTTTTATTATCATATGATTTAGTTTTAAATCATTATAATTTTGTATTAGTGTTTTAGTTGCATTAATGCATTTTTGTAACAGCTATAATGTTTACAGTTAAACATTTACTTTCATTTACTCACTCAGGACAAGGGCGTCCGCAGGGGGGGGGCAAGTAGGGGCATATGCCCCCCCTTGGCTTTTTCATGGGTCAATTATCATAACTATTATGTAGTATAAAATATCATAAAATAAATATTTTTTAATTTAAAAACATTTTTTGAAACGTTGAGTGCCACATAGTCGACAAATGTTATGTGGATTTTTATGGGTGTATTATGTCATCGGTTTTCGATGCACTGTTTCGACTATTATATGTGAATATTAAATATTTAATAGGATCTCGTGATTTCATTGGTATCATTGAATATAAATACTAAAATACTAAAAGTATTTAATATTTATAATCATTAATCAATTTTGGTATATTTGGATTTTGCGTAGCTATTTTTAGTGGGTATTAATTATTTTTTCCGAATAACGACGACGGTGACGGCGATGTGTCGAACAACGCAGCGGTGCTATTTCCGATAATAATATAATATTATCTCGACAAATAATTGACCGTCGGCGCGGCGTCGCGGGTCAATTTTAGCATGGAAACTAACTATATAGGATATACCCATCATAAATACTGTGGCACTCAGCGTATTAACATATACTCAGCTGAACTTTTATGACTTTTAATGTAATTTATGAATATACCTAGTGTCTTAGTGAGTAGTTTCATAATTGATGATGTTTAGTATTTTTAATATTAAAAAAAAGGGTAATAATAATTCTAAACAAGATGGTCAAGATGAGCAAAATCAAATCTGTAAGATTTATAATGAAGATGGTGAACCAAGTGATAAATCAAGTAATGATATTTTTAATAATTCTTTTGAAGAACAACCAGTTACAGAATTACATTCGATACCGACGACATCATCGTCATTAAAGTCATTTAATTCAAATTTATCGAATTCTAGTAATTTAGGTAATAATAGATTTAGTAGACTAGATATTGGGAACTTTGTTAATCTTCCATGTACAATAGTTATTGATGAAAAAACAAAACATGAACTATTAACCAATATCTGGACACCAGAAATTAAGTATAGTTTCAAGAAAGATAGTACGTCAGTTGCTCGTTGTTTTCGGCATGAATGGTTAAGTACATATTCACCATGGTTATCTTATTCTCAAAAAATGAAAGGTCCATTTTGTGTGTTCTATTTCATTCATCTAGTGGTCATGGTAATTCTTATAAACAAATTCAGTTTGTAAAAAAACTATGTATTAAGTATAAAGATTTTCACAAAAAAGCATACAAACACAAAGTTTCCAAGACACATTTACAATGCACAGAAAATGCAGTTAATTTTATTAAGGTTTTTTCTAACAAAGCTTCAACTGTTTTTGATAAAATTAACACTTCTCATAAGTTATTGATTGATAATAATAGGAAAAAAATTTTTCCTATTATTTCAAGTATACTATTTTGTGGTACTCAAGAAATTGCTTTGCGTGGAAAAACATCAAATGAAGGAAATTTCAATTCTTTAATTAACTTTAGAATTGAAGCTGGTGATAAAATTTTACAAAGTCATTTAGAATCAAGCCCCAAAAATTCCAAATGTATTTCAGCTAGAGTTCAAAATGAAATAATTAATATTACAGGAAAAATAATCTTGAGCAGAATAACAAATTATTTAGTGAAATCGCGATCATTTTTTTCTATACTCGCTGATGAGACTGCTGATATTTCTGGTACCGAACAGTTATCCATAGGCATAAGATATATCTCATTTGAATCAGAAAACCCTGTAGTTAAAGAAGAATTTTTAGGTTTTGTTGCATTAACAGATATACATGCTAAAACTGTAGCAAAATCTATAATACATTTTTTGAGACACTCTGGTCTTAATTTAAACAATTTAATAGGACAAGGATATGATGGTTTTAGTGCTATGTCAGGTATTCATAATGGTGTCCAAGCAATTATTAAAAATGAATTTCCTAAAGCTGTATTTGTACACTGTTCATCCCATAGACTAAATTTAGTAATAAATGATTTGAATAAACTTTAGCATATTCAAAATTGTGCTGGAATTATCAAGTCGATTATTAAATTTTTTAGGTTAAGTCCTAAAAGAAGAAAAAGAATAGAAAAAATCCCTTTATTTTGCGAGACTAGATGGTCAGAAAAATATAAAACTATAAGAATTTTTAGTGAACATTTTGTTGGAATAGTTGAACAATTAGAAATAATATCTATGGAAACATGCTTTGATTCACAAACAAAAAGTCAAGCATTTCAGTTACACAGTGCAGCAACTAAATCAAATTTTATAGTGTGTTTATTCATAATGGCAAAATTTTCTGCTCAACTAGAACCTATAACGAATGCATTACAAGCAATACAGTTAGATTTATCTCAAGCTAAAAAATATATTACTGAAATCATTGAAGTTTTTAACAACCTGGATGCGAAAAATTATTTTCATGAGATTTTTAAAAAGGCTCAAAATGTTGCAAATGAGCTTGGAGAAGAAATTGAAATTCCTCGTATTGTTTTTAACCAAAAGCATCGTTTAAATCATCTAATAAATACTCCTGAAGATTATTTTAGAGTTTCCTTATAACAACCATATGTAGATTCCTTAATAATACAATTAAAACTAAGATTTTCTAATGAAAACAGTGCTGCTCATTCCTTATTAAATTTACATCCGAATAATATGAAAAAAATGCAACATGATGAATTTAAAAACATGATAGTAGAAATAAATAATTTTTATGAAATTGATAATTTGGTTGAGGAGTGTATATTATGGTATTATGTATGGAAAAATAGAAACACAAGTCAAAGTGAAATGAAAAATATAAGTTTCATAAGTCTATTAGATGAAGCAAATTTATATCCAGCAATTTATATTGCACTAACTATTGCATTAACTCTGCCAGTTACTACTTGTTCAGTAGAAAGAACTTTTTGTACACTACGTAGAGTAAAAACTTGGACAAGAAATACTATTGGTGATAATCGACTTAATGGTTTATGATAGCTGTCCATAAAGAGTTTGTCAAAAATCATAAATTAGAACTAATTGAAGAAATTATAAATGAATTTGGTTTACTACCACGCAGAATGGAACTTTTATTCAATGATTGAATAGTTATTATTTATAATTATTTGTTAATATTTTTATATTATTTTTTTCTAAGAACCCCAAGTTGTGTGAGGTAATACGTATATTAAGTTTGATCTTTATGATGTTTCTTTTTTATTTTATTATGTATAGGCCTTTAGCGTATATACTCGTATTTTATTTTAGAATATTAAAATTTAAAAATTTTTATTATTTATATAGTTTAATATGTATTAATACATATTTTTTTAATAATTTATTTTAATCAAAGTTATTTACTATAATATTATAATATAGCTCTAAGCAGTATAAGCTATGTTAGTCTTTAATTAAAAGAATAAATAAGTTATTTTCAAATAGTTTTTTATTTATTTTATAGAAGCTAGAAACATTTAATTTTATAAGTAAACTAAAATTACCAAATCAATGATTACATTTTATTTGTATAAAAAAATACATTTGTTAATTTAAAGTTGCACATTAATTAATTAAAATTAATACTGTAAGATTAAGTTTTAATGTTCTAATTATATACATGATTAATAATTTAATTTTTACGTTCCCTACTTATATGATAGAAAACACGTCGAAAATAATAAGGTACTTTATCACTAATCAGATAATGAAACAAAAATTTAAAAAATTAAAATATCTTGCCCCCCCCCCCTTGACACATTCCTGCGGACGCCCTTGACTCAGGATTATATCTTACTACAACATCACATATCATTGAAAGTAAATATTATACTTCTTATTATTGTGAAGCTTAATATATTAATTTATGCTCGACTGTATTAGTTAATTATATCAAACCATGAATTTTTAAATTAATTATGAGTTTCTGCGTTTTGCTGAACATTAGAAATTTACATATTTTATTTAGTTAGGGGTTATTTAGTTAGATAATGTGAGTACTGATGTACTGTAAGTATGGAAAAACCATACTGATGACCGATGGAAAAATCGGATATCGAATCGTCAGTATTTATTTACTGATGATTATATTGATAGTGTGAGGTCGATATTGACACTTCATCAGTATTGGCATCCCAGCGAGGGATGACGGAAATGAAACCGCAAGTCGCGAATTCCGCGATCGGGCCATTTTGCGTGATTTTATTTCGGAGTACAAACAATTATCCGAATTGTGGGATGTCCGTTGTAAAGAGTACTCCAATAGAGATAAAAAAAATTCTGCCTATAAAAATCTTTTAGTTTATTATAAAGTTTTGAAAAACAACT